CAATCTAACTCGAGCTCCTTTAATGGGTGCTTGTTTGCTTCCGAATGATAGTGCACAAAACATTGACTGCGTTCAGCAGAAAAAGCAGCTTTGCAACTGTTGTAAAATTCTTTAATATTATTGGTCCTGTCCTTAGTTCCTCACTTCTCATTAGATTTAAATGTATAAACCAATCATATTCAAGAATTTTACAACACAGTTGCAAAGCTGCTTTTTCTGCTGAACGCAGCCATTGGGTTCAACTTTTGTCGCGCGGTGGGAATTATATATCTGTTACTTCCGAGCAAGCGAGATGTTGATTGGCTATCGCGCCAACTTTCGTCACGCGTCAGTGTCGCGTTCTGTGTGCAGGAGCCATAACCGTAAGGATATATCCACAAACTTGCATAGTCGTATAAACGTATGCATAAAGAAAATTATCCAATCACATTTCTCTTATAAAGTCGCACATAAGGTATATGATTGGATGATTTTCTTTATGCATATACGTTTATGCGGCTGTGCAAGTTTGTGTAAATATATCCTAAGCCGTACCGTAAGAATTAGCCAATCACAGTCTAGAATTGTCATAACTTTCTGCTCTGATTGGTTAATTCTTAGAGTATGTATCCACTGAGCGTGTCACGCGTCGCGTCGTCCATCGCGTCACGACGCCACGCGAAAGAGAGAAAGAGTGAAGTTTATACCCCTCTCTTTCTCTCTTTCGCGTGTCGCGTCATGACGCAGTGAACGACGCGATGCGTGACGCGCTCAGTGGATACGTACCTTTATGCCGGATTCACACTGCATCCGATGTGCGTCGTACGATATGGTTGCGCGATAAATACACCTTATAAATACTCCTCTCTTAAGATTGTTTAAGGCAGTCTTAAATATAAAAATCAACTATGAATATCGGCCTTGGTCAGCAATAGTTTTTACTTTCAATTTATGCATTTCTGGACGTATCAATTAAGCTTTCACTCCCTATTTTAAATGATCGAGATGTAAAAAATACTTAAAATTAATGAAATTTATTAATAATTTTTTAATTGCTTTAAAAATTAATCACAATTAAATACAATACATAAGAGGTGTCATCAAATTGATCGTAAAAATTTGTCTATCTATTTCTCATTTTATACCAATGTGACTTACCTTTTATTATTTCCTTTTATTTGTCTCTGTATATATATTAGATTATACAGCGAGCTATTGCAAAATATCTGCACTGCATTAATTATTCCTAAGCATCTTCGGCAAACGGCTAGATCTCTCAAAAATTCCTTTTTATATCGAAATTGTTAATTTTGCAGATGATTTTAGCCGAACGCGAAATTTTCAAAAACCTGAAAAGAAAAGAAAAGAAAAGTTTTTTATTTATAAAAAGAATATTTTCCATTTTGCTTCGACTTATCTTGATAAAAAAATTTATCATTCTATTGGTATAAATTAGAAAATTATACAAAATTATGAAAATTTAATAGAATTCTAGTTTTCTACAATTCTACATTAATTTCTAGTGAATAGATATATAGTTTCATGTATATATGTGAAGATATATTTAAATATTACGACGTTTTTTTAAATATTTTTTAAAAAAAGCATCTTAATAAAATATTCTTATTTGTATACTAGTTAAAAAACTCTATCACACACATACACACATACACACACACACACATATACAACTTAAAATATTCCAGTTCATTTAACAATATTGATTTTGTTATTAACTCTTGGCTAATAATTTTAAATTATGCAGATATATATCTCAATGTTTTTTTCTAGATAGACTTTCAAGGACTCTGGCTTAAGGACTCTGCATACGCACAACGTGTTATATTTTATGTACAAGTATAAATGCTTTTTGTTATATATCGCAGAATGATTACTATCGTTGCATTATAACGGCAAGCAATAAATATGTTATTTTTATGAAACGTTGTACGCAGATACATAAAAATGTTTAAAGAGTGTTCAAGACGATAAACGTATCAAACCGAACAGAATTATGTGAAACGTTCGAAAAAATTTTACGCATAAATCTTTCATTGTATAGAAAATATTCAAGCATAAATACGTTACAATATGAATATTTATTTATGCTGAGTAACTTTCAGATTTTAATGGAGCATTTCAAATAAATGCGCTTAGTATGATCGTATCTTTATACTTCGAAAAATACAGAACAATTATCGAAAGCATTATACGGGATGTAATGTGTATAAGAAAAACCTAAAAATCGATTATCTTGATGCGACTTTTACATTTGTATATTAAACAAATAAAAATCAAGCAATTATCGTTCATAACAAGATATTTTAGTGATTACGTTTATATTAATTTTTAATAATTCATCCAATTATTTTACCTCTTTTAAATAATTTTATCTCTAGATAACATATAAATATATGAAAATAAGACGTAAATAGACACCAAATAGACACAAAATAGAATTAAAGAATAAAATAAATAAGTTGTATCTGGTTCTAATTTTTAATCTTCTTATTCGATTTGAAAGAAATGTTTTGCCTTTCATCTATCAATTCTTCGATTAATTTGTATCGTCTCGACAATTTTATCAAGAAAAATCGATTCTTAGTTGATCAAAGAATTCATAAGTAAAAGGATACCTTAAAGTGTATAATTATTTAGGATATGTTATCAATTTTGTCGATTAATCTTATCTAATACTTCAATTTAAAAAATTGCAATTTAATTTTGTTTTATTTCAATTGTTTTCGTACGTTCGCGCATACATCTTTCATCGAAAATACGAATATCATATCGAAAGTGAACACTCGGAAACAACTCAAGCGATATGTTTGCATTTCAAACTTCGTTTATTAAGGATAATTTGATGAAGTTTTGTTGAGACGTAATGCGGCGCATTATCATAATGATAACATTCATCACCCCATCCCCTTGTTGTCACTAAAATACAAAGGATCATCATCTTGAAACAATTTGTTGCTCACCGGCTATGCTATAATCTATTAGTTTCATCAGTCGAAAAAACATATCGATTATTAATTCTAATTTGAATAATAGCATTGTCTTTGCGTCGTAAGTCAGTTTATGAATATTACATTTGTTACGCATATACCTTTCACGATATCAGTTTCTCAAAAAGTGAATAGCGTAATAATTTAGTGCGTATAATATTTTATATATTGTATATATATATATACAAATTGATTTATTATGCTTAAAGAGACTCACAAAAAAGAGACTCATAAAAACAATTGAAAGTTCATGCACCTCAATAAATTAAGTCTGAAAAAAGTAAATATTGACGATATATAATATGTCTTAATCACAGTGGCGTAACTAACGACCCCGCAGACTCTGCGGTGCGGGGGGGCGCACCAAAGGCGGGGGCGCCGGGCGCTAGTAAAAAAGTAAAATATGTATAAAGAGTCATTAAAAAAGGTCAAGTAAAATAGTGGTTTCAATCTCAAAGTATCATCGTCAAATTGACGATTTGACGCCCCGTAAGCCGAGTGGCGAAATGCCATTTCGGAAATGGCCATTGTTACCCTCGGTTAAATAAAAAAATTTTGTTTTTATCACAGGCGTTGAAATTTTACCTTTATTTTATGGGGTGACCTTCGTGCTAAAATTTCATTTAACGCCCTGAAAACTATACAATCACGAATTTAGTAAATGAACATAGTCAGCGCCATTGTAAAGAATATACTTGATCACTTACAGGAAAAATGTTTTTTTTTCAATTTTTTTTTTAAATAAAAATAGTTTTTAAACAAATCAAGTTGTGAGCAAAATCTTCGTGGTTTTCTTGTCGTTTACAAAAACTATATAAAATGAAGAGTATGATCGCATCTAGGTATCATAGTATTAACAAATAATTTTAATTTGTAAGAATCTGTGATTGATTTTGTTTGAACTAGTTACCTACATGAAAATTCATGCATGTATATGATGGGCAGTCTGCCCAGGGTAGATATTTATTTTGATGCGTTACCGTATCGAAACATTTGCCGCGCGGTAAGTGAAAAATCGTGTCGTGACGCGACGCTGCATAATACACGTGGAACCTTTTCAAGGTTCAAATGCAAAAAATTAAGGCGGAAGAAAAGGGGGCGCCTAAATAAATTTGTGAGGGGGCGCACATAGGCTTAGTTACGCCACTGGTTAATCAAAATAATAAGCACGATATATCGATAATCTTTACACATTGAAAATAAACAAATGAATAACTATGTAACAATGAAAAACATTAGCTTTGGAAATCGTGGCATAATGATGCCAATCTTATAATCAGAGTAGAGTGCGCAATTAGAATGCATAATTTAATATGCGGTCATTATTGACGGATCTTTGAGAATTACTAATCCATATGTGGATACTGCGCAGTCGATGTTTCTTGTTTCTTGTGTGCAAGTGTGTTCATACACACTGAGAAAAAAATATCCTAAATTTTAATCAATTTTATTTGAATAGTATAAACTAAATATTTATTAAACATAAAAATATATTTATTTGGTGCAAAAAACATTAATTCGATTTAACAATCACTTCTTTTTATTAAGTAAATATTTATTTATTGCAATGTTTAGTTGACAGTATTCAAATAAATATTTATTTAAATTTAGGCTATATTTTTCTCAGTATGATTCGCCTTGCGCACGACCTAGATGCGTAAGATGATGGGTCGTGCATGCCGCAGCAATTACACATCATTACTTTATGCATTACATCCCAAGGGTGACAATGTCGATCGAAGAACACCATGGTTACTTCACGGCTAACAAATAATTCCGTCTGACTATCCAATGTAGCAATTGTTTGCAGTTTTAAACTTGAACTCGTCTGGTTTAGACTACGGGGAGAGCCTCTGTCGGACATTTAGCGTGGAAAATCGAAAGATTATATACTTAAAGAAAAGGCTTTCACGTGTTTACATCAATGTTTAAGTGCGCCGATAATGCAATTAATAATTTTTAGAATACAGTCTACGATTTAGGTCGTTGTTTTTTTATGACACTTCGCTAATCATGTTCACTCCGTCGCCGAAGTCCCAAGGACAAGACAAGGGCAAAGTGCGGAAAAAATGGCGACTGTTCCACGCGACGGACTTTGAATCCTTGCTGTATCCCTGTATCATTTTCTGTACCATTTTCGGATTATTCCCGTACAAGAACATCGGTTCGACCATGGAGCTTTCCAAAGTGGGCCATATCGTGTCAACCATCGTTTTAGTTGTCGCTGGCGTTTGGGGATTGACGATACTCTTCGAGGTCAATATTGCAGGGCATATTAAGTTCGACGGCGTACCTGGAGCCCTTCAATGTAATTGCTACTATATACTCGGTGGTGTCATAGCGGTCATCACGTACGTCATGACCAAAAAGCGGATACTATTGTTCCAGTCCATGCTAGAGGTTTCTTCGAAACTGCCCCCGGAATTGTATGAGAAGATGTCCAAGATGGTTCATGCTAAGGACATTATCGGTTTCCTTTTCATATTAATACAAGTGTATAACTGTATATTTTCCGCCAATTATGGCGATTTCTTTCTCAAGACGATGTCATTTTATTTCACTATGCTGGTGTTTCAAATGGATATGCTGTACATGGATTGCGTTTATGTACTGAAGGCCTGTTTAACACAACTCAACGACAATCTGCTGAGTCTGCGAGAACTTGTGGTGAGCGACGAGCCGCATCTCCTCAGACGTATCTATCATGAGCAGAGAAATCCATATCTGCTAATGGAGCTCAAAGCCCTAAAGAAACGGCATCTGCTGCTCAGCGATACCGTACATTTGTTGAATACGGTTTTCAGTATGCAAGTTCTCACCACAATAGTCATGACTTTTGCCGAAATTACTTTCGGTTTGTATTTCTACATAGTGGCGTGGCAAGGGGAGAGGGGGGATGTTGTCAATCTCGAGAAACAGATCTGGTTTAAATACTACATCACGTCTGTAACATATTATTCTGTCAAAATAGTACTTATAGTGTGGGCCTGCGATACAGGCAAGGATCAGGCCATGCAGATTGGCACTACTGTACACGATGTCCTTATCAGCACCAGTGATAAGCAGGTGAAAGATGAGGTAGCAAAAAATATCATTAATTAATTATTTAATTAATAATAATTTAACTTATCTATTTCTACGAACACATTCTGCGGTTTTTTATACATTGCACATTTTTATACATTGAATCGCTTATACAATTGTATTTCTAATCCTATATTTAATTATTTTAATATTTTACAGTTGCAGCTGTTCTCCTTGCAAATATTGCACCGCGAAAATGCATTTACCGCGAAGGGTCTCACTGTTGACGCAACACTTCTTACTGCGGTAAGCGATCGATCATTTACCTTAATTATGTACATGTATATTATTGACTTTGTAATTGTGTTTATAGATAGTGGGTAGTATCACCACATACCTACTAATTTTAATACAGTTCTTGGTCACGACGCAAACTTGCAAAGAAAAACTTCAAGAGACAGCCTAATTATATATATACATATATGTATATATAAATTACACTGTTAAATGAAAAACACGTTTTTAAATATTATTAAATATACTTTTAAATATATAATACTTTTGAATATATATAAAATACTTTTTTTATCTATCATAAATAGAATATCACTCAATATTTTATACCTGTTAAATATGTATGTACAAAGATATTTGCAATGTTTTCATATAAAAATTAATAGCTCTAAATTATATACAATTAAACATTTTTAATAAGTTTTATTTACTTAAATGTAACGTGTGAGACAAAATAAAAATATTTCTGAAAAAATATTGTTTTGGATTCATTAAATACATAATTAATATGTAGATTAAGAACCTTTAACTACTCTTGCATTAAAATTAAAACGAGCTGATGTTTATATTAGAAGAGAGAAGTACTACGATACAATTTGAAATTCATTTCTGAATCATGCAAAAATATAATTTTAAATTATATCTCTGACGATCATATCGTCGTTCTGTAATAATCAGTGGTAGTTTAGTAATACAGAGATATGAATAAAAGAGTAATTAAATTTTCGTTTCATTGGCGCCACATGGACGGCGATATCAGCGCGGAAATTCAGCGATAAATGCAATCTTCGAGGTCTACAATTACATCTCAACACTCCGTGCTAGAGGAGAACAGATTGCGTTACGAGTTGCAATGCACGCATGTAATTTTCAGACATTTTCCTCGCGAAATCCTTGTTCTTATCATCAGCGAATGACCCACGGAAGTGACTTTTGACCCTGTCCGTGACTTTGCTATTGCTAAATCGTAAATTCGTAATTTTGCTTGTCCTTGAATTTTTTACAACGTAAATGTGTATTTCTTAGTTTAAAGCAATAAAGATTTATCGCTTCGTCGATTCGACGTTCGTTATCTGGTACCTATTTGTAAAAAGAAACGAAGATACCACCTTCAATATCTTTGTCAATGACGACAGAGTGAATAAGACGATGTTAAAACGAACTCACGGAAACACGGTGTGGAGCAAAAGAAAAAGAACAATTTATCGTGGGCTATTATAAGTGCAATAAGTAATACGTCATGTCTGTTGCGGTTTCTACTATTTAATAGCGATTTACCGGCACCAGCGGTGGTAGCAGCAGCGACGTCCTCGAAACTGAGTTTTCATTCAATGCGGAGGCATATGAGGTGTAGCCGGATCGTGATCTATTGTCGTCAAGGTTAACGTTCTACTGCGCGATAATATCCATACATAGTCGCAAAGGTTAATTTAGACTAAAAGGCTAAATGCGTTAATGATTTCAATCGGACTTTAATGCCGCGACGAGAATCTCGGATCACGGCAAGTAGACGACATATTATTTATCACACACGCAAGAACCGCGCAAGTACCTACTTGAGAAAAATTTGTTTTCCTGTGAATCACCCTTGATATACCCTTTACTTCTTATCCCCGTACGTTCCTTTTATTTCGTTTGTAATTCAAAAAGCAACGAAATTGAATATCGACAAAAACAGATGATGTAAATTATTTCGGCACAGCGTGACACGTGTCGTTTATCTCGCTGGACGTCCAGACGAATATATTTCGGTACGAACTGAATAAGACTGCAATTATGCGGCGACAGACTGATGCAAATAAGCGTTGTCTCCGGAGAAAAACGATGCGTGTAAAAACTGAAATGTCAACTGGATAGAATGGCTAATAGCAAATGGCTAATAGCAAAATACAGAAAGTTTTCGTTAATTCCGCGTTATATAATGCAATGACAAATAACCAAAATGTCTATCTTCCGATGTTAATATAACTAGTTTACCATTATTATAATTTCATATCAATTACTTACTGTCATGTGTGTACAATCTTGATAAGAAATGTAAATTAATGAAGTGGAACAACAGCGCAGGATAACAGTGCTATTTATATTTTATAAAACGTTCTAAACATTTGCGTCACCTTTAACATTGAAAGAGGTGAACTTGCGATAAACGATGGCCTTTCACAACTTCCTTGCTAAAGAAAGATCAAGAATCCAATTTCATCAAAGAATCTCTCAACACTGTTAAACTCGTTAGGTCAAATTCTACCCAAGTTTAAGTTTTAATCATTTCAATAAGTCGTCACTACTCTTATTCAATATGTCGTTAATTTAATTTAAAAAATAGAGTTAAGCAATTTAAGTGAACAAATTTATTAAATTTTATTCAAATTTAGTTTATTATTTAAGTGCATACATTAATAATAAATGTAATTTATTTTGAAACTGAAGTGCATACGTTAATTATGGACGTGGTTTATTTTGAAACTGGAGTGCATACGTTAATAATGGATGTGGTTTACTTTAAAACAACAGAAATGAATTTATTTATTATATTAATATTTTGATACATATGGAAGTTAAACATAACAAAATGTTATTTAATTCAACGAATTGGGTTACCATTGCTCTTTTGATATTTAACAGATTAGTTTAAATAGATCATTTTTTTAATAGTAAAATTAGTGTACACTTTTTACACTTAAAGTGAAACAAGCATTATGTTTAAAATTTGGTGGAAGCGAGAAGGAAAGTTTTAGTACAGTCTAATGCAACAACAAAAAACAAATTTAAAGTCTATCAAATTAGAGATTAATATTGAAATAAGATTGGGCTGGAATTTGATCAATCGGAAGAAAGAAAATCAATATTAAGGTTAGTGAACTTTACTTTGAGCGATTAAATTCCAATTTAATCTTAATCGTTGTTCCTCCACGTTGTTAAATTCATAATGTCAAATTAAATTATATCACGTTCAATTTGAGAAGATTTTTAATTTAATCCTTTAGGTCATCACTGCTCTAATATTAACTTAACTACAATTATATAGTTAAACAATTTAACTCAAGATGTATTAAATTTGACTCAATTAATTTAGTTGATTATTTATGAAATACACACATCAATATGGATATTGTTTCCTTTGAAACTAATCTTAGAAATATATTAATTAACATTTTGACATACAAGTTGAAAAAACATAAAGTTAAAAATAACAAAATGTTATTTAAAGATTGAGTCACACGATGCTCGATTTCTCGAATGATAAGCATGCACGCATGCATGCATGCATGCATGCACATATGTATGCTTTGATGCATACAGTCTGACGTTTGACAAATAACTATGAAATTAGCAATTATTTCTTTTGATTGGCGCATGCAAGGAAATAAGCTATGAAGTAATCCAAAATAAATATGAAATCATGTATATGCAGCATGCAGCTCTCAATGCATAAACAAATTCTAGTATCAGAGTAGGCACGTTATTATTCAAAAAAATCGAGCATCGTGTGATTCCATCTTTAAATAACATTTTGTTATTTTTAACTTCATGTATGTGTCAAAATGTAAATTAATCCATTTCTGTAATTGGTTTCAAAGAAAAACAATATCCATATCGATGCGTGTATTTAATAGATAATAAAAGAGCTTAAATTACCATTGTTCATTTGACATCTAACAGTCTGATACGGCTTAACCTTTAACTGGTGTCGTAAATCCATTAGACCCACATCGAGTTTACTTAGTAGAAACTTTATTAACTATACTTTAAATAAGGATTAAAGCGAGCGAGACTGATTACTATATATAGTTCCTATTATTAATTTTGATTAAAAGGAGATAAATGAAGGTCCAAACATTAAAAAAAAGACATAATAAAAATATGTTCTCAAAATTAAATGAGTTCCATTTTGTTAGCCTTTGAAAGATGCGATTCCAGTGGATCCACGACGTTAGAAGTGTAACATTTTTTCACGATACTCTAGTCAAGAGAGTTAATGAAAGACTTGTTCAATCACACTTCGTGGCGTCCGTACAAGTAAAAAGATTCTACGTGAATCCATGATAAACACGTGTTGCGCGGCAGCGCACATGGTACGCATCTCGCGCGAGGAAACTGCGTTTACGTGAACATACAGCACGACAACTGCATCCGCATCGATCGCTCGTGCATCACGTGAAACGAGATCTCACGCATCAGCGTGTATATGTATAGGTATCTGGAGCGATTCTTTCAGACAGTCCGGAATTCCGTTCTTTTGTCTAATTCTGGCGACGGGGCTGCGGGGAGAGAGGTGAGAGAGAGAGAGAGAAAGAGAGAGGAATGGTGGAGCATCACGGTGTAGCGCGCTGCGCGCGTGTGATCACGCGATTTCGCGATCACGTCTCATCGCGCGCCGCGGCGCCTCTGACCAATACGCAATCGGCAATAGTCAGTGCCGCGCCGACTGCCGCGCCGAGTGAACGTAAGGAGGGTGTTCTTGCGCATATACCACCCGTCGCCGAATATATCGCTCGCAAAATCGGAGCTGCTGAGAACAGCAGCCGCGGCAGATTCTTCTCTCAGCTGAGACACGTAGGGTTCTTCCCTGACGCGAGTGACGGAAAATCAAGGTGCTCCGATAAAACGAGAGAGACGTCTGATGAAATAAATAAAAAAGAGAGAGTTCCAAGTGCTGACGAAATTGACAGTTCACGCATGCGGACGAATGCGATCTCCTATGTTTCTATGTATATCTCGTTAGTGAGCTAATTCGAGAAATTTTGTGAGCGTATCGAACTTGTACGCGATTAGATAGAGTGGCGTAAAGGCGGCGAGTTCGTCGCGTAAAATTCAGTGGATGAATGTTTGCGGGCGAGCATCGAGCGATCACCTCGTAATCCATGCGAAAACGCGTCCTTGCCCGCGGATCTCCGATGCCGCTGCCACCGTGTCTACGAGTTTCCTTGGTACTCGCGATAGCGAGCACGACGACGAGATCAGGGGTATAAACAAAGCAGACGCGTAATCAGCGTGTGCGATCGGCGCGCAAGTGGGATGCAGAGATTTTAATTCCCGCGTCGTGAGAGAACGCCGTCGATCTACGCCGCGGCTCTTGCTTAGAGAGGTGCAAGGGCGCCTCTCGAAACCGATTCCCGTTTGTGGAAGTAAGTTTGCCAGCACAGCTTTCATATTTCGCCTCGTATGAGA